TGTTCTATAGACTGTAAGCTAGTTTGAGCAGGGCCCTCTTCAACCTGTTGTTCCTGTAGGTTTTTGTAATTGTCTCATTTATTGTTAAATCTCCCCCTTTGATAATATTGTAAAGCGCTACGGAATATGCTGGCGCTATATAAATACCAGTAATAATAATAGATACATAGCAGCCAAATACTGTTTGTATTCTTTATAAAGTATGAAATTACCACATGATATTAATATTGTATATGGTGTATTCTGTAAGACATCATACTACGTGTAAACCTATACATTATTAGATTGTAAGTGTAACTGTAGTTTAGACTGCAAAGCACAAAAAACAGATATAGGCCAACATATATCAAATCAGAAGCAGACAGGACATGATGAGCAGATTTGATTCCAAATATATTTATTGATTCAAATATTTGGCCTTCAGGGAGTCCATTACGATCTTTCTTATCACATTTATTTTACTGCTCTAATTATAAATCTTCTGTTCATATTTCCTTTTTTTTTTTTTTTAAGTATAATAAACGTACATGAGGGAGCTAGTTGTACATATCAAGAACTGTGCACCATTTTCAATTTTGTTTTAAAAAAACAAGTCATCTTTGAGCTATGGACAACAGAAAGATATATGACTCTCATGCAGTCATAAACAGGACTATCAGGTTGTCACTTGTACCCAGGAGCTGGAAATTAAGCAGGTGTCTCAGAAATATAAAAATTATATGTTATACATAACAGCATAATTATATAATAATAATTTTGTGCCATTTATTGGAAGCGATACATCTACCACTCCATAAAGATATATGTATGATCCAGACTGGAATGCCCCTAAACTAAGAGCAATAGCCAAGAATTTCTCAAAATATAGAACAAAACATATACTGAAACAAACTCAGAGAAAATGGCATAAAGCATTTGAACATTTAAAATATGTTTGGGTAATCTGAAGTTTTTGGACAGGTTGGGTCAGATACATTCTTCACCCATAGTCATAGTACTGGAGCTTGTGAGCCTCCGGCCCTCGGGACAAAAGGAGAAACATGAGCAGAAACCCAAGGGTTCACTGGGAGCCTTACATTTAAGATTACTTTTGAGATAGTCAGTCCCAGGATTTCCAGGATGGTTGATGCCATCCCCAATCGAAGTAAGAACATGTGTAGTCCCAGTGTGGGTTACCACCAGAGAGCAATTTGCCCCCCATCTCTAGGCCCTTCCTGTAGATCTCTGTTGATTTTTAACAGGTCCATAGGACTTTTGCCAATGAAAAGTGGGTCCCGTGAGATCCTGAAAAAAGGTTAGAAGAGAGTCCTCAAAAGTCAGAGCCGCTTCACCCTTTAGAGCTGTCATAATTTGAATCTTATCCTGTTCTGTGCTGCAACGAAGGATAACATCCCATACCATGTTTGTCTTTGTTTGAGTAGAACTGGTAACATGGTGGACTCCATCAATGCCTGTTTTCTTTGCCACATCACAGAGTAATATGGTAGCCAGAATGCGCCTAATGTACTGCGCTAGCTCCTCTGCAGAAATCACAGAGGGGATGCCACGAATTTTGATATGAGTGTGATGCTGACGATCAGTTTGACCCACAGGACCTTCTGATGGTTCTGGAGCAGTTGTACCGAGTCATTTAGTGTGGTCAGGTTAGTTTGTATTTCCACAATGCCCTCACTCAATCCTACACCTCAGTTTTGAGAATAGTAAAGCAGCTGTCGGCACCGCTAGCAGAACCTTCAGATCATGCTTAGTAGTTGGGATTGAGTCTCTGAAGGTGTAAATTGTGTAACCCGAGAGTTCAGCGTTGTCTCTGGCCCCTAATGCTCTGAAACAAGAGCACAGTCTGCGACACATGGTCTTCTAATTAACAGTCAACATCAGGGACAGGTAATTCCAGAGAGGGGTAAACAATTGAAGATTATATTAGCTTTAGTGTACTAATAATCTTAATTTTAGTAATGACAGGAGGCGAATATTTGCATATCTTTCTTTACTGAAAACTCCAGCAGCATAGAAACATAACAACCAATCAGAAAAAAGTTATGATGCCCATAAAAGGCCCTGTCTATGACATCACTTCCTCTTTCTTTGAAGCGAAACAATAAATAACAACAAGAGACATAATCATATTACGTCATTAGTTCAACAACATATTAGAATATCCAACTCCATTAGTTCCGCGATGCAGAGGTATGGAAGGTGAATCTTTGTCTCGATGAGAAGACGTTCACGCTGCAAGAAAAAGAAAAAGGTGAAAGGTATCTGGCGTGATAACTTGTCCGCATACAATAAGCATAAGCATCTGATATACCAACGAACATTAGAATGTGAAACATATCAATATATATTTATTCTAACGCAATGATATTTAAGGATCTATAAACACAACATAATGCAAGGTTCATGTCTAATATTCAGCCAATACAAGACCCGCAAGGTACAGGTCTAAGTAGCAAACATACAAACCATACGTACTTACCTTCCTGAACATAAAGGACATATTCTGTTCAACACGAGAAACATGGGAGGGATCCTATAGGGTGGGAAATATTCGCCTCCTGTCATTACTAAAATTAAGATTATTAGTACACTAAAGCTAATATAATCTTCAATTTTATCACATGACAGGAGGCTTCATATTTGCATTTTTAAAGCTTTGAATTGACCAATGTGAAGGAAGCATGAGATGTTTGGCGAAAATAGAATGTTCTAAACATACTCTCTCGCGCTCAGTCCGCGCAGCGTATAATGTCGGCTAGGGAAGCGTCGGCCGAAAAGGTTTGTGAGGCCGCCGCTCCCCTGACCGAGTGGGCTCCGAAACAAGGTTCGACGCTAAAGACAAAAACCAGCGGACCCATCTGGCCAGTGTTGCGGTAGACACCGGTCCATGAGGGTTCACGTAAGAAGTCAGAAGGTGATCCGTCGAATGAGTTCGAAGGGGGTAGAGATATTGGTGTACCCCATTAGCGTTCTGACCATGCATAGTGTGGCGTCTGACACAAAGCATGGGTATGACACTGAAGACGAATCAGACTTAGTTCGTCTCGACATGGTAAAGGTAACCCCGTCTGGTGTGAGAGAGAAACCATCCATATCGCAAGCCCTAACGTCCGCCACCGTCTAAATGAGGCGAGGCATAATAAGAGGGCTAGTTTGGCTGAAAGTTGCTTCAGTGACAAACAAGGATTGTCCGGCCATTCCCTAAGGAATCTCAGCACCACATCCACCTGCCAGAGGCGTGAATATTTGGGTGCAGGGATCTCGACAATTCGGCACCCCGCAGTAGTCGACAAACCAGTGTATCTTGACCTACTGGTCTGCCCTGTACCGGAACGTGCGCCGCCGATATGGCGGATCTGATCACGTTGAGGGATCGATATGACCGACCCAACGAGACCAGGTGTGACAGATAGTTGAGGATCAGTGGGACAGGTGCGGTAAAGGGATCGGAATCCCTTTCCACACACCAATCACTCCAGGCCGACCAGGCAGAAATATAGCCTTTCCTGGTGCCGGGAGCCTATGAGTCCCATAGGAGGTCTTAGTTGATGCAATAGGTCGTGAACTGACCAGGAGCCCCTGAAGCCGTCCAGGCAACTAGTGCCAGTTGTCCTTCCATGACAAGGGAGTGGGCTTCCCCTCGAGGTCCCGTCAGAAGTAGAGGGAAGGTAGGGAGTTGTAGAGGGTCTTCGCGAGACATCTCCAGGCGATCCGGGAAATCACGGTTGGCCCTGCCCGAGGGGTGTCATGAGCAGGAGCGATATCTTGTGGGTGTGTGTGTGTATCGAAGCACCCTTGCTATTGTGGAGAACGGCTGGGTCGCGTTTGCAGGGGTTCATCCATCGCCCCGTATCCGAAGGAAGAGTCAAAGGTCGTTTTGCCAATCCAAGTTTGTATGTGAAGTAATCACCATCGAAATTCCATCCTCACTTCCGCTGACAGTGGGATCCAGTGGTCGTATGAGTGACCGGTGCGTACGTATCTCACCATCAGTCGTAGTGGGCCAGGGAATAACACTTGTATGGAGGAGGAGAGGAGGAGAGGAATCCCACAATCCGGCAGCTATCCTTATAGAGGCACTCTTTGCCGTAGACAGACGCGGAACGTAGTTCTCCAAGCTGATGTCGAAACCGAGGAACTGGCCCGATTCAGATGGGGAAGCGATCTTTGTCTGTGTACAACAAAAAACACATGGAGTCCCGAAAGTGAACGACAAATTTGTCTGCAAACGTAGCCTGGATTCGTAAAGAATCAGCAAGTCTTCCAGGTATAAGAGGCATCGCACGCCCAAATTTACGGATGTGTGCCCTCACTGGTTACAGTAGGTTCGCGAGCACCACGGAGTCGTAAACTGCCGTGTTTGTCCTCACCATTGGAATCGGAGGAAAACTTCGGCAGTACTACTGACAAGCGTGCGTCCTTGAGGTCCAGATGTGTAAACCAGTCGTTATCGCCTAGGAGGTCTTGTAGAAGACGAATTTCCTCCATCTTGCAGCATTTGTATACCATGTAGGAGTTCCATTGATGTAGTCTCCTGGCTTCTTCTTGACCAGGAAAAATTTGCTGGGGAAGCCTTCCCCTCCGGTGCATGTTGAATTGCGCCCCTCCTGAAGAGGGTGCAGATTTTCTTGTCCACGAGGCGTTCCTGTTCCGCCAGCGTGCGTAATGGAGGTGAAGGGGCGACCTGCACGGCTGTGATAAAACTCTGACATAGCCTTGTACTGTCTGGAGAACCCAGGTGACTTTGGTAGTCGTCTCCCAATTCTGTAAAACAGAGACAGGTTGCCGGTCATAATATTGGAAACAGTTAGTTATGAAGGTTGACACACTAGTAGATGAAGCGGATGGGTTCCTTTGTGTAGTAGATGGGAGAAATATGAGGACTGTGTATACGATCTGGAACCTGTCGCCCAGGAGCGGCTGGTGGCTCGGTTCAGCTACCGACAAGTCCTCCCAGAAACACCTTTCCCCGTAGGGTTGTGGAAGACTTGTTTTAGCGAGGTCTGGGTTTAATTTAGTGTGGTGAATAAATTCACGTGTTTCTTGAGTACTGCAATGAACACAACGTCGAATAGTAGGCCTTGTGCTTTTGGGCCGAATTCTTGTCGTTCCTAAGCCCAATAGTGTGTTGTCGATGCGGCCCAGTACAGATTTGCGTCTGTCGGTGCATAGTGCGTCATTTACGTTGCCCAGGAGGCATATCGAGCATTGAGACCATTCTTTGGAGGTGGTAGGGTTGAGTTGTGTACCCTAGGGTAACTCGGTCTTGAGGCGTGCGCATCCTTCCATCCCCTGAGGGTTGCGCAGCCAATAGTGTTCGTCCAGGAACGTTCCGTCTTCGGCTACTCTGGTTTAGTGCCGCTACAGTTATCTCTGCCTCAGCCGCCGTCACAGAGTAAGGTTTCCCTAATGTACTTCGAGGAAGTGTGGGGAAGGTCTGCCGTTCCATTTCCTCAGACGGTGAGCTGTCTTCGTGTCGCTCATCTACCATGTCCAAAGTACGTGGTAATAGTCTTCTTTGTCGGAAGATTGTGGCGGACGAGGTTTGGATTCCCTGTGCTCCGCCTATTTGGTCTGATCGATGGGCGTCTTGCCCTTGACCTTAGCGGCAGGGGGGCTGGAGCCCTTCCCTTGCCGTTTTGACTTGAAGGCTTGTGGGCCTGAGGTCTCCATCAAGCGGTGTGGGGTAGAGTTCATAACAGAACCCTCTCCACTGAGGCCATTACTGTGGCGTTTAGCATTGCCTAGAAATCTTGGGAACGTTGAGAGTGTCCACCATGACTCGTTCCCGTCCTGTTGGGAGATAGTGTGAGGGTCAGCACGTAGGGGTGTTAGACTCCTGGTAGAACTGGGGATCACCCAGGTAAAACGGTTTGAATTGCCTGCTTTAGTATGTCTGAGAGTATGAATACTCGTGCCAAGTATAGAGGGGTCACCTCTATTAGTTTAATCTGGCTGCTGAGAGCCGTGGTGCAGGCGCGACTGACTGGTAGTGGTGTTGGTCTGGCTAGCCGGGTTCACCTCAAATGTACGCCAGAGCTGTATGCACGGTTTTTAACTATACAGGCTTATTATATATAGGCGCATGGGGCCTGTCTCCATAAGGTCTGCGGCCGCAGGACCCATGTCTATTAGGCTGGGTTCATCCCAGCTGGTGTGCCATGGTAACCCAGAGGACACCCATATTATAATTATTGGCACCTTACAAGCATTGCATGCATATCTGGGGGTCATCCCAGGTGGTGTGCCATGAAAATTTACAGAGGGCACCCACGTTCAATATGTACACTAGGCACGGTAAATATACATATATGTATCCCTGTGAAGGGTACACCGCAATACACTCAGTTTTCTTAGTGATCCTGCCGTCAAATCGCATCCGGCATGGTACTGTTGCTTTAATGTAAAACTGACAGGCAGTGTTTAAACATCCATATATGTCTGTAGTAATCAGTGGTAAAGTTGAGGCGTAGGCCTCCGTGCATATGATCGGGGTTCACCCCGGGTGGTGTGCCATGGTAACCCAGAGGACACCCACATCAAAGGTAATGGTCTGTCAGTGACCTTGCATGCATATCTGGGGGGTCACCCCAGGTGGTGTGCCATGAAAAAATACCCAGAGGACACCCACATAAATTTGCACCATCAGGTACAGTAATATAATATGACCCTCTGTAGGGTACAATAATATAATATAATATGCCCTTTGTAGGGTACAGTAACACAATATGCCCTTCGTAGGGTACAGTGATATAGTTGATCTTGTTATAGGTACAGTATATGTTTTGTATAACGACTGTGATATTGTATGGCTTCACAATAATACATAGATTGTGTGCCTGCTCAACATATAATCATCCAGTGTAAGGCACCATGAGAGATATATCCATGAGAATAAAAAAAAATAATAATAATTGTATCAATAAATGAATGTGCCCAGAGAGGGGGACCCCTGAAGGGGTTAATCCAGATGCAGGGCGCGGTGATCGGGTGATTCCTGTAGGATATAGTAATATAGTATGACCCTGTGCAGGGTATAGTAATATGGTATGACCCTGTATAGGGTATAGACCCTGAGTAAGGTACAAAGACATAATCTCCTTTAATGCCTGCATGTAAGTATTTGTTTGGAAGACACTGTTGGCAGGCACTGTGGCAAAATACATTGAAAGAATACATGGAGAAAAAACTGAAATCCAGCTTGCACTCTCCCATTGTTCACTTGGGAGAGCATACACTGTGGAGCCCGGCGGTCGGGTGAGTTCCCGATCCGCCGAGCGAGCAGGGAAGGCGGCCGTCAGGTATCTCGCGAGCCGCGAGATCCAAGATGGCCGCCGCCCACATGTGAAGGTGCGCCGCGGATCGCGGTCGCGCGGTGCAAAACAAAGGGGATAAATGCAACACAAACGCTGACCCCAGCCTCCCTCCACCCATCCCCATACAGTCCCCTGCGGATACCAGGCAGTAAGGTGGAAATAAAAAGGGAAAAAACAAACAAAAAAACAAAAACAGAGGGATACAGTGAAGGGACAGGAATAAGGGGGGCCAAGGTAGCAGGTGTTAGCAATAAATAGAGTAATATATAGTGGTATGACAATCAAAAAACAGTGTAAATCAAGAATCTACCAGAGAGGTAAAATACTCTGACCTGATGCATGGCTGGAGCAGCAAAGAAAGAGGAAGTGATGTCATAGACAGGGCCTTTTATGGGCATCATAACTTTTTTCTGATTGGTTGTTATGTTTCTATGCTGCTGGAGTTTTCAGTAAAGAAAGATATGCAAATATGAAGCCTCCTGTCATGTGATAAAATTAATCAAATAACTAGACTGTCTCCCTAATTGTGTATGGAAGATGTGCCTGCACTGAAGGGGAAGCATAAAGCAATAGGACAACCTGGTTATGGTCACTGGCATCTTTGTCAAAACAAGGAACAATATAGGCCTAACATGATGACAGAGCATTAACAGAACCAATTTGTCACACATGTCCACATCTGGTTACTTTACCATGCATGTTCAAAGCAAGTTGATATTGAAACCAACATGGCCTCTGCAAGCCAATTAATTCCTAGCCAAGATATCATAGAATTGCAGCAAAATTAGCTTCTCTTGTGCTTGGTCATATAGGTTGCATGGTCTGGCAGTCATTTTTGCACATTATTAAAAAAATAAATTCAAAAAATCCGCTTTAAAACAGCATACACTACAGATCTGCAACTTGAACTATGTTACAACTTGTTAAACATTTGATTTCTGAAATATCTTAATATGTGCTGTGTCCACACGCTTGTAGCTATATTTAGGTGGCCTAACAACAACGCTGTTGGATAGCTTAAAACTGTATAAATTACTTCAACCACACATTTGTCAGTGTGTCTTTGAAGTAGGGGCTAACCCTCTTATTTAACTAGAAAGTGTGGGGCAGAGAGGATCCCCAAAGAATTGGATACTAAAGGAGCACAACTTCATTTAATATTATTCCATGAAAAAACACAAACATCATGAATAGGCTGAACCAGTGGCAGAACTAAAGTAGAGAGTGTCATAGTGCAAGAATTATTTGTGTAATTGAAAATTTTAAACAACCACATAATCAACAGCTTGAAAAAGGGTCTTGAAAACTTGTGCTATGATTAATGCCATCAGTGTGCAATACCATGGATCACGTGAACCCCTTTGTCAAGTGAAGTGGTATTGGATTACATGACCAATTTTCAAAAAAATCTTCAAATGTGTTTTAAAAATCCATTAAATATCTACCTACAATATCTGCTCGTGTGTTGTAATAAGGTTCAGTAATATTGTCAGGGTGAGTACACGCAGAACTTGGAATAGAACAGAGAAAACAGAAGGAAAAAAGGATTACTGGACCTTTACAGTGGCCAGGCTTAACGTGTAAAAGAGGGAAATCAAAGTCAGTGTCCAAGCCAAAATCAGGATTACAGATAAAGGGATAAACAGAATAACTAGCCAGGGCAGGATTACAGACATACAGAATAACTAGCCAGGTCACTATTACAGATAAACAGAATAACTAGCCAGGTCAGGATTACAGACATACAGAATAACTAGCCAGGTCACTATTACAGATAAACAGAATAACTAGCCAGGTCAGGATTACAGAAATTCGGGATATCATATAAAGTATATAAACCAAGGTCAAACCAGAAGATCAAGGATCAGGAATAATAATGTGCTAATCAAGAAATACTAGAACACAAACCACGACAGGGCAATGAAAGATGGGTATATATGCCATTAAATATGTTTATGTGCAAACTGATTGGTTCATGCCACATCTGCGACCCCAAAACGTGCAGGAATAACGTCACCCCGATGACTTGGTTCCAGCCAGACGGGATGTGATGGGGAGAGCTTTCATTTTTTTAACAGACATGGCCTGCAAGTGGGCAGCATCCCTCACACTGTCCGGAGGTGGGTCGCTTGCGTGAGCCTTCTGATCAACGAGCGCGACTTGCAAAGGAAGAGGAGAGCGTTGTGCTGATTGCGTAGGATTGATGACATATATTTATAAATGTGTATATATGAAAGAAAACACTTATTTAAAGGACTTGCCTATTACCCATTAGACTACACAAAAAATCCATTCATTTTAGAGAACACAGGTAATAACAGCTCAAGGGAGTGGCATTGCTCAATATGACCCACTTTAAATCAAAGCTTCATTCTGATTGCTGACTTTGCAGCAACAGTGAGTCAGTGCATCCAGATAAAATTTGCATCGTTCTTTCATTATTCATTTCACAGATGTCATAGTGGTCTAAGACACAGGTTCTCAACCTGTGGTATTCGTACCCCAGGGGGTACCTGCACCACAAGTAGGTGGAAAGCCAGTAGCTACTGACACATGGCTTCAATGAGAAGGGAGAAGCTCTCTATAATTATTTGTTCACACCTTACTTATAATTATATTGAATAAGGTCAGGTCTTACTATGCATATTGCAAACATTACCTTAGTTTCATAGTCGCTGTATTCTTTAGCATATATTGTAGAGAATAGACAGTTAGAAAGGACTGGCCATTTGCACATGAACCAACTCGTTTTCTAGGTTTTACTGTTCTTTACTTTAATTAATTTTACCTGTATGTAAAGCACAATTTACTATTTTTTTTTATTTTTTTTTAATTCTTTATTTTTGGTGTGTTTTCATTTTTACACGATCACGTCCGGCCCCAACAGCCAGGACAGGCACTGTAACTGTAATACAGGGTAACAAGGTTTGGTAATGGGTTAGTGAACAAGACATCTTAGTAAACATTCGCACATTTTGTTTTTACATGGGAGTACTAGTAAGTTTTGTTGAAGCATTGTGTTAAGTTATGAGTGCGTTGATGAGGGAAGCGTGTGGGTAACAAAGGTATTAGTGGTGATGACCTGAGGCTTGTTTCGGTTACCCTAGTTGGCAAGTACCCCTAACCAAGGAGGCATGGGGGGGGGGGTTGTACACCTCTTGTGTGTATGCAAGACGGGTCTGAAGCTGCCTTTCCCCGGGTCTGTTTAGTATGTATACCGGGTAGTGGTAGGGTGTATATCGTGTGTATGCGAGGTGCTTCTGAGACTGCCCCTTTCTGGGTCTGTTAGTATGTAGAACAGGTATGAGTGGGGTAACCAGTAAGTGAAGAGAAATCTGAACAGAGGTTAGTATAACGCATAATATAAACCAATATTCTTGGTGGTCTGTTAAAGTTCGTTCCTCGGTGTGCGATAGTTGCGCCCTTTTCTTGATCAGTCAGGTAGTAGGTGGGGTTCTCGGTACTAAATGGGATCGTTGATTCAGGGTCCCAGGTGTGTTCGACTTGTGGAACAGAGGTTGCAGTTGGTGTTTCAGTAAGGCCCAGTGTGTAGAGTATTGCAGGTGCCTCCGATTCAGTTGTGAGCTTGTGGGTCGTCCCATTGTGTGTTAATAGTAGGGATCTTGGCGTGCCCTATCTGTATGTTACCCCCGCGGAGCGCAGGCGGCTGGTGAGTGACTGCAGTGATTTACGCCATTGAAGTGTAGTTTTAGTGAGGTCCTGGTAGAGGGTTAGGTGCGATCCATCAAATGGTAATGGGGTTTTACCCCTCACTGCTGGCCCTTATCTTGTAGTGTATTGCATCGGAGGATGACGTCACCAGTGATTGGGGCTGCCGTCTTAGTGATGGTGGGCAGTCTGTACAGTCCATTGATAGTGAATTTTTTGGCTAGCGCTGGCGGTAACAATGATGCAATCAGTCTTCTTGTGTAGTGAGGTAGTTCCTCTGCATCGATCCACAATTTACTTTAAATGTCTAATCATCTTAGCTGCAAATCTCCAAAGTTACTGGATCCATAATCCATTCATAATCAAGATTGGCAGCAAAAGAACTGCTATTGTGCAGTATTGTATTCTACCGGTGGGAAAACTGATGTTTCACTGTGTACACACGCAACCTGGATTCAAAGAGTATTGCAAACCTTCTTAATACCATATGCAGCAAATATGGTAATATCTGTGTAAAATTACACCTTTATAGATCACATTCCAAATTAAACACCTGGTCTCTGCAGAGATTCCTCTCTATAACTTTGGCATTAGTCCCAACTCTACAGTGGGGATTATGAGAAAAGGGCGTTGTCTTAGTTTTGTGAATAAAGCAATGACAGATTAATAGCCACGAACTGCAACAGCAAGGGTGGTATGAGAGGCATCATAATATGTTGGATTTGAGTCCAAAGTGATTTACAAAAAGTAGAATTTTGCAGGATAGAATAGGAATGTAGTGTAACATTTAGCAAAATGGCTAAATTATGAGCTGAATGTCATCAATGCAAATCATATGTTACAGTTGTACAACATTTATATAATCAAAATATAACTGAAATAGTTAAACCTAAAAATAATGTCTGAGGAAAAAACAAGCGCATGCAAACAATATCTGAAAATACTGTAGGTAATCATAAGCAAAGGAAGTGAAATTCAAGCAGAAAAATATAAATAAATTGTCTGCAATAACTGGGAAACAAAATGAACATTGTCACAAAAAAAAAAAAAATCAAAAAAGAAATGTTGATATAATACAAAAACGATAACTATAGCCCATAAGGCGTAAAGTATTGTATATAAAATACAAGATTTAATGCAGTTATACCGAGCAAATATGCATGCGAGAATAAGACAAACACATAAATTGCTTACTCTTAGGCCTAGTGATATCATATTTGGGAATCTCTGCTTCAGCAATATATTTTTCCTTCTCAATTTATCTTTTCAAATGTTTTATTGAAAGTTTTAAATATGATAATAAACCAAAAAATAATAATGATAATAATAACATCAAACAACAAGGAAAAGGGGTAAAAATACAAGTACTATTAATCATCCAATACTATTTAAAAATGAAAAATAAATAATTTAAAGAAATTGTACAATAATAAGTATAAATTTACCATTGGTAGTGCCTTATTTAGCAAACATAATGCAGTGCAAAGTGAATTAACAATACAAATATGTAACAAAGTTTGGTAACCGGCTGGGTGGAAATAAATATATTTGATATTGACGCCTAATATATTCTTCCCAAATCATCCCATCGAGTTTTAAAGTGGTATTTGCATTTGATGGCAATCTTGTAGCTAGCTCACAACGTTTGTTTTCAAAATGGAGCTGTAACACCTCGCTAACTGATGGGACAGTTGATGATTTCCTGTGTCGTGGGATTGCGGAAGTAGCAGAAATAAGCATATAACCCAACATAATTTTTTGACTTTTCGATACATTTTATGGTAAATTTATATATATAAATAGACAAAGATGAGGGGTTATTTCAACTGGAAATCTTATGAAGGATTTGATGAGTTTGTGTATCTCTTTCCAGAATGGAGTTATCGTAGGACATGTCCAGAAGATGTAATATAATGTTCCAACCTTCCCACAAGACCTCCAACATAAATTAGTGTTTGTCAATTTTAATTTAAACAGTCTGGAAGGTGTACCATCTGTATAATAGTTTGCAATGTGTTTCTATGTGTGATGTACATTGTGTAATGCCTTTCGGTGTTAGTAAAGAGGTGTGCCAGTCTTCAACTTCAAATTCCCTACCCAGCTCACTATCCCACTTCAGCATGTAATCCGATTTAAGGCAAACGTCGCCAGCAAAATAGGTATAGCTTAAGTAGATAATATGTCTCTGACCAGGATTGGGAAAAAAATTTTTTTCTAAATTTGACATTGCCAATTGTTTTAAGTCTGAATCCTGGCCAGAAACGTTAAAATGTTCATGCAACAGTTTTACCATTTCATCAAAAATATGAGTGTCAGAATCATCGAAATCAAATTTTTTTCTTCAACTAAACAAATGACAAGAAATTATTGTGATAAAATAAATAGTTTATGTGCGTGATGGAATGTGAACTCCAGTATTCTATGTTCAGTTCAGGTAAAAACGATTGCAGCACCGACAAGGAGATAGCGCAAGACCAGGCAGCAG